CATCAAAACGGGTATCCTTGATGAGGGCCAGGCTCGCCGAGCAACCCGTAAGTCGATGTTCACGTTTCAGGAGAAACCAAAAGTGGCTCCGAATCCCGAACTCCTGTCCTTGGTGCAGTGTGCAGATGAAAAGAAGAAAAAACCCCAGCCAGACGCAGGGCAGGAGGAGGAGCTGCTGGCTCTCGGGGCCGAAGCCTCAAACTTCCTGGCCAAGGAAGAGGCCGTTCACGTGGAAGCTGCGGTGCCAGAGTGGGCCTTGAGTTTGAAAAGCTCCAGAACGCGTGCCAGGATAGAGCACAAGCCTGAGCAGGCCCTGACCAATGCTTCAGGAAAAGGAGCTGAACTGTTTGCCAAACGCCAGTCGAGGATGGAAAGGTACGTCCATGACAGCAAGGACCTGAGATCACCCTCTCCTACCATGTCCTTGCCTCCTTCGTGGGTATATCCATCCAACATGCCCGGTCGAGTGAAGGCCATAATAAACTCCTCCAATATAAGTGTACAAATTTCAAAGACACTTCAAACTCAGCAGGCCATTCAGAAAAAGACTGTCCTTGCCAAAGCGCCAGTGCCTGCTCCAGCTCCACCTCCAGAGATACCCTTGGAGAACGGCTGCACTAAAATCGAGATGGAGCTGTCCAAACATCAGCCATACCAGCTTAACTCATCCCTCTTCATTTTCAACCCCACGAAAGATCCCTACAGCACTCTTCCCAGAGCCGCCCCAGCTCCTAAACCTGTCGTGACAGCTCACTCCTACTCCAGACAATCTTCCCTTCCAACAAGCCCATTGCCATCGCCGTACAGCCCATCTGCCGCCTATCGGTCAGCCCATTGCTTTTCGCCTCCTGTGATGCCTCTCAGTCCCATCACAGCAGGCAGCGTCAGTTCGCCAGTGTCGCCTTTAGCTCCAGAACGTGTGGCTTCACCTCGCTCTGGCATCCAAGCACCACGTCCCACGTTCTCCACCAAAAAAGCTGGTATCAGCCCACAGGTGTGGAAACCCTCTTCATTCTTTTAAACCTTTCCATTTCTGCTCTTCTTTGCTTTATGTACTCTTCAGACCAAAGTATAATGGAAGAAAAGTAAAAAAGGACACATATTGAACTGACTGTCCACTTAGACGTAACAAGAGAGCAGTAAGGTACAAAAAATAGCCCTACAAGAAACTTGAAATCTAGCACTCTTGGTCAGATTTGTTTTTCTTGTTTCTTGTTTATTATTGCATGTGGAGGCAATAAATGTCACGTCCTACCTGTTAAACTGACCTTTAATTGTAACTCATAAACTGGTCACCAGAGGGCCATAAATCTAACCTTTCATATTTTTTTAAATCAAGACATTTTAATTTAGTGCAGCTTTGTGTTTCAGAACTACAGTTTATTCAGTTTTGTGCTCATGCCAGATATATTTTAGGTACAAAACCAGTGTGTCATTTTCCAACGCTTGCCTCCAAGTTTTCAGGTTGGAGTTGGTACAAACTCATAAGCAGTTTAGCAGATGGTGTCTTGCCTTTTATGATGTACGAAATACAATTTAATATGAGTAGGGCGATATGAGACCCTCTTCATATTATGCCACCCGTACTGCTCCGTACTTCTCTTTGATTTATAGTTCAAGTTTACAGCTTGAATGCTGCGCAACAGTATGTACTTAATGTAGTGTGCATACACTACTGTATGTTCCACTGCAGGTCTCTGATTAAACAAAGCCATAATTTAATTAAATTAAATTTTATCACTACATGCAGTATGTAGTACCTATTTTAATGCTGGTTATTTTCAAACAAATTTTTTCATTCTAGCTTCTTCTCTTTCAAATGATTATGTTTACTCTGTTTCATTAAAACAATGAAAAACGTTATTTTCTGTCTCTTCTTTTCATACTATATTATCTTCTTCTGTTAAATAATCTGCTAAATTTCCTGTGTGGATTTCTTCTTTTATTTGCAGTATCCCCTCTAATCAGTTGTTTTAATTTTCGGTCGTATCTATCCTGCAATGAGAATCCCAGGCCAGCTTTCCCACAGAGTCGTTTTTATCTATACGCTTGTACCAACAAAACAAAGATATGCGTATCAGAGCCACCCGCCGTGTAGTGCTCTGACCCAAAATGAAATTAGAAACTTTTTTTAACGCTGACTGAATATGTATGTGCCCCGCACATTCCTGGCCTGCCCCCTGAAAATGCACATCTGAGCCGAAACTGGCCACTGTGGGCTTGAGCTTTAGGCTAACGGCTTGACCTCTGGCCTCCCTCATACTTGGAAAAACACATTTGCTGGAGGTGAAAACATACCCAGCAGCCTCAGCAGTGCAAATGCATATCTCAGTAAAGGTTAGTGGTGTTGGCAGCGTGCATGCAAGCGATCTGAAGATGCCATGGTATTGTGGTGTGCTGGGAAACTACCTAGACATTGGACAAGAATAAACAGTTTGATGTAATCACAGGGTGCATGAGAAGGCCTGATATCGATAACCACATCTGAAGTTGCATGCAGTGCTACAAGAGGTGTTTTAGATGTTTCAGTGGCGGTTTAGAGGCTAACCTTATGGAACGTGTGCACAGTATACCTGGCATGAACTTGGAAAGCTTGGATTTTTGAATGGTTATTGAACCTTTGGATCCAGGATTGTTCTGCTGCTGTTGTACCTTGAGTGTAATGATATCTTTGTTTCTGTACACTAACATTCCTCACTATCTACATTTATAACAAAAAAAGAAATGAATCATGACATGTTATGCAGGGCTCAACAGTAAGGAAGGTGTGCTGACCAAATTTTTGGTCTAATTGAATGAACTGCCACATGTACTGTTTGATCAACGCCATATATATTTGATCATGTATGTATATTTTTATGCCTCACAAATTTTATGCCTTGTTTTGCTGTGACATTTGGTTGCAAATTATGCTCATTAGCTTTTTAACCTTTAATCAGCTAAATAAAACTATCTAACCTGATGTCCAGCATTATCTGCCCAGTGCAAGTTAATTTCCTCTATCATAATGTCTAGCTATTATATGTCCACCTAGCAAATGTTTGTAAATAATCTCGAAATGTGATCATTTTAATTTAGATGTGTGAAAAATGTAATGTCAGCTTTATTTGTGTACTGCTTTATATAATACAGATTGTTTCAATGCAGCTTCACAGTAATGATCGATGATGCAAACTTTAAATATGGGACAAATTCAAATTCTACTGTAAAACAGTTATAAAAAAATAAAATAAAGTAAAACAAAAATATCCAATAATAAATAAGTTAACATTTTTTATGATAATGTTAAAATATTTAAAAATGATAAAACATTTTAAAATATTATCTTTAATTAGCTTTGGTTCAAAATATTTCTATTGAATAACATAATTTTTAAAATAATATTAACTTAAGTTATGCATTTAAATTATCTTTTAAATTAAAATGTAAATATACAATTATATTTTTTATTATTATATATTGTATTATATGAAATTATACAAAAAGTATATAATTAATAAAAACATAATTAAAAATATATAATATATAAAATTTGAACTATGGCAAACAGAAAAATCCTTACTGTTGAGCCCGTTTATTATTCAGTGTGTGTGTTTGTGAGTGTATTTAGTGATATGGAGACACTACATTAAAGTGATGTCTCACCTCTTCTTATCTTTTGTCTTATCAGATTAAGGAGGAGACCCCGGCACCAGTCAAAAGCCCCGGCTCCACCACCCCAACCTCCAGGACGCCCAACCTCACTAGACGCTTCACCAGCCCTGAGGTGCTTTCCAGCGCCGCCTGGTCCCCCAGCAGCCCTCTAGTGACCTCTACACCATCCACCCCAATCTACAAGCCCACACCAATCTCCCCCTCACGCCGACCCATCCATAAACCCGTCACAACATGCCCTTCCCCAAGCCCTATCCACAAGCCCATTGCAACCACAGCATCTCCAGGTACCATCTTCAAGCCGAGCGCCACCTCTCCTATGTCTCCACCCTGGGAAACCAGGTACCAGTCTCCGGCCGTCAGCCAGGACACCAAAGCCAACCACCGCATTTTGGCCAAAAACATCATCAATGCCGCCAAGCGGAAAAACAGTCTGTCTCCCGGGGCGCTGGGTGGCCACAGTCTGCCCATCTCCCCGGTGAGCGGCGGGATCGTGCCTTATGAAAACAATCCTGTCAGTCCATTTCAACCACGGATGCTGGGGGCTCAGTCGCCCACCCTTACCAGTCCCTCTCCCACCCGCATGATCCACTCTCCGGTGCGCTTGTACAACACCCGCTCGCTGACCGACTCGGACGCCTCGGTGGAGTCTGAGGATTCGGGTCTGCGCTCTTCTGGAGTGCGCAGCTACAACACCTGCCCCCGTGGCTGGGCCGGCGGTCTGCAGGTGAAGAGGGGAGGCATGTCTGAAGATCTGTAGGAACTAGGAAGCACTTGATGATTTATACTTCAGCCTGATTTCATTGTAGACCAAAGTGTCCCTTAAGTATTGAATGTAAAGCATTGTGGATTTTGCAGTACATTGAATACAGTACAGTATGTTGACTGTGTGATGGAATCTATACATGTAAAAAAAAAAAAATACACTATCGTTCAAAATTTTGGGTCAGTAAGATTTTGCTGAGAAATGTATTCAGCAAGAATGCATTAAAATGTTCAAACGTGACAAAAATACCTTTTTATTGTTAATAAATAAATGGTGTTCATTTGAACTTTCTGTTCATCAAAGAACCCTAAAAAATATATCAGTTTCCACAAAAATATGAAGCAGCGCAACTGTTTTCAAAATTGCTAATAATACGAAATGTTTCATGAGCAATAAATCTCCATATTAAAATGAATTTTGAATGATCATGTGATTCTGGAGACTGGAGTACAATGTAAAAATGTTTCAAAATATTCCTGTTTTTACAGTATTTTTAATCAAATAAATGCAGGCTTAGTGAGCTTCTTTCAAAAACATTAAAAATCTTACTAACCCCAAATTTTTTAATGGTAGTGTACCTTAACACTGAAAAAAAAAAAGAAAATTCTGAAATCTTTTACTCACCTCACGTTAACTCAAATCAGTATGACTGACTTTCTTTCATGGAACACAAAATGAAGTGAACATTCACATTCGGACTAATATGTGACTATATTGTCCTTGTTGGAGTCTGATAGCATCTGTTCCTATTCACTTTAATTTTCTTGTGTGTTCTATGGAAGGAAGAAAGATTTTATCAAGGTCATATTTTTTTTTTTGCAACAACATGAGGGTGAATAAATGTAGATTAAATTTTCATTTTTAAAGTGAACTGTTGCTGTAAAGTCACATCTTGTTCTCATCTATGCAGCTGTCTGTAATTTAATGAAGAAGGCATTACATGGATTCAGAAAGGTGTACCAAAGAACTTAGTTGTGTATTACCAAAGATAAAAAATAATGTGCAAGACTTTTCAAAGCAGTATTAGATATTAACCTAATTTTTTAAATCTACGTAAATATAAAAGGGATTGACCCTTTTGCTTTTTTGTACAGTATGTTTTGACAATGTGTTAGAGTACTGGAATGTGACAATAGGTCCGACTCGAGTCAAACTGGGAAGGAACTGATTGCTTTTTGCTGATTGTGAGTTAATTTAGATGTAAAGACAGAATGACACAGCAAGGTTTCTATGGTATGAGAGAGAATGGTAGGACATTTTCTATATTATGTATACTATAAATGGAAGCTGCAGGTGATCTGAAATCCATTAAGGTTTCCATATTAGTTTAGCGCTGACATACATGATGGAAATAAAATGGTCGGATGCACAACGGGAGAGGTGAAAAAATAAAGCATCAGGAGGTTTGTACAGTGTGATTTCACATAAAATGTAGGAATGATTAAATTTCAGTGTTCATTAATGCACCTTGCTTAGATTGCTATTATTATATTTCAGTTTCCCAAGAGGGCAAAAACAGGAGAAGAGAGGATTCTATATGAGTTAATCTTCACAGCATTTCAGCATTTCACGTAAAAGGGATTCTGGGTTTAGGGTGATTGAGTGCTCTGTTGGTACAATAAGGTGAGATAATTGCTTTTTTTATATACATTTCACACAAATAAACATATTTAATGGGGCACTTGTAAGGTTTATCATATACGTAAACATACGTAAACAAGTATACACACTGTATTCTGTGTGATAAACAGTAATTCACACTACTTAATACCGTATGTTTGTCTGTCGTAGTTCTGAAATTGAGTTGATCACTAGCAGTCATTTAAGGATTAAGTTTTAAGGTTCATGCATACCAAGTGTACTCATGTTTGCCTGCGCTCAAACATTGGATCACCACACATGAGAAAATCATTCTCTGTGTTGGTGCATCAGCAGATTTTTGAGTATTTGCATACGGGGAATTTTGATTGACAGGGACATCAGCTGTAAAGTGACTTGGCGCCTTTGGTGAGAATAATGTTATCACTTTCAAGGATGCTGTACAGCCCCTGTGTGCTTGTGCGATCCTTTATTTGGATTATGGGAGATGTTATACATGATTCAACTTACATATACAATTTCTTTAAGTTTGATATCATGTCTGAATAACCAGCCTCATTATTATCTCTGTCTGTTTTCTGTTCTGTTTTTAAATTAAGTGAATAAACACAAACAATATCATCTTCTTGCATAAAGGTCTTCATTTCTTGATTCTTTTAATGCTGAAAGCACAATCTGTAATTTCATTAATTATTACTACAAATGCATAGTTTTACATCCATATAACTGATTTCCTCACTATTTTAGAAAAATGCACATTATTATAAACATAATATAATTATAGGAAAGGGTTGTAGTTTATATTCTGAGCTCCTTTACTGATATGGTATGTATACTGTAGGCAGTAGGCCTATTTAGGATATTGTTATTATTGTAATTACTACTACTACTACTACTACTACTACTACTAACTGAGAATTGGACAGTATAGACAAAGTCTTAAAAATCATTCAATCTAGTCTGCGAATTGCATTCATACACTAGGATTAAGTAAACATTCTTTAATCAAAAAGGTGGTCCTAATGTTTCTTGAAGAGATGAACAGATGCCTGGTCAATACCGCCACCTATAGGACTAAAATGGTAAACTGGTTTCATTCCTACTGTATCCATCGCTGCAGACGCAGGATTCGAGTTCAAAAGAATATGTCAAATATGAAATATTATGTACAAATACAAATCGAAATTAGTTATTATTATATTAAATAATGGGGGAAATTAGTTATTATTTATTTATTATAAACTAAATAATTTAATATATTATTAAATAAAATAAATTTCATTATTAAATCAAAATTAATTCTGTATTATTTCATCAACACCTCCAACATGGTCACTAGTGACGTCAAGGAACAGTTTGTTATTTTGTAAACAGCCTTTTCATGAAAAAACCCCCCCAGCCTTTTCATGATAGAGAATAGAAATGAGAAATAAAATTGATTGTCCATGAAATTAAATAGGCTCTCAGATGCATGTTAACAGGGAACATTGATTCACATTCTCCAGAGAGACCATCAATGCTGCATAGATGCTGCATACAAGAACAGCTCCAATGACAGCAATAAGCGATGATAAATAACAACAACAACCGGAAGTGACAAAATAAAATAACCCCTCAGCAGTCTGTAATTATTTTACACGATATAATGGCATGTTTATCAGCATTTACAATATTGCCAAAGTATACACTTGTAGCAGTGTAACGGACTATAAAGACGATGAATTAAATATAGGAAACCAAGGGTAAATCAAAAGGAAAGGGCAAAATTAAGAATTAAAAAAAAAAAAATACATGAATGTGAATGAATTTATGCAAAATACAATCTCGCAGGGTGGGAAAAGCTTGGGGTGGAGTGGGAAGGGGTGGTATACTAAACTGCATAGTAGTTATATTTAATTTGATTCTTTATATTTATAGGTATAAAAACAACTCAATGTTTACACATTCATTAGGAGTTGGTGTCTGGAAAAACACTGTTTACTCAAGACGACCTAAACAGATCTCAAAAAATACTTTAAAAAGGTCAAATACATTGTGAAAGACACTTTATATTTCACAATGACTTGTTGGTGAAATAAATCATCTATTAATGGATACTGACAGGACTTTTATTATGACAGCTTGTTCAGTTGACAGTGAGCTGGTGTCCTCTGATTGCAGTGTCGCGCTTCTCTGTTCTTGCTGGATTGTTAGATTGCTGTGGATTGTTTTCCTCGGGACATTCACAACAAGGTTAAAATATCAAACACATCTCATGACACCAATCCAAAGCGTTCGGGGTTTATCAGGGGGGACCCGGAACAATAATTTCCCCACCCATTTAACTCCTCATGCGTTGTTTATATGTTGAAAAACTGATGAATAGATTCAGCGTTTGTTGATGGTGCATTGTTGTGGTTTGTGATGTATTGCTGGTTCGCAGCCTCTTCGGCTGAACTATAGATGCATGAATCGTTTTCGAGTCGTGTTTTTGCCGATCCGTTTAGTTTTTCGCAGCTGATCGTTGAATCAACGCAACAGCGTTAGCTGGCCTGGACAAAATGAGCAGAAAACAGCATCATTTTAAAGGAGCAGAGGTCAGCTGCTGTGTTAAATACTTCTTATTCGGATTCAACATCATATTTTGGGTAAGTTTTGTGGATCTGCAGTTCATTTGCTTTTTATGATGTTTCTCAAACTCAAATTAATTGCCTCCATGATCTTTTTATTGTGTGTTTCCATCATCTAAACAAGTTCAGCAGGATAGACATTGGCCTCATTCATTTCACAGCATGTAACATTAATGTGTTTAATATGAAATATATCGTACCAGTGCTGTATATTTATTTATTTTAATGGTACATGATCTAGTGATGTGTATGATGTTGGATACATTCTCAAATACTCATCCAGGTAAAAATAGAAAAATGAATAAAATAAAATAAAAACTAAATAAATAAATCACCTGTTTCCCATGGGAATGGATTATGGAAATCTTGGTTTCTCAGTACCTTTCCAGATCTGAAGAATACATCCCATTGAGAGGTGAGGGGAGTGGAGGGTAAATAGGATTATCCAGGTCTCATTAGTTGGGGGAGCTTGGGTCAATTCACAGTTTTAACAGAGATTACCTTACACCATTCAGTTTTTCCATGTCTGGGTTGGAAATTATAAAGTTTTTGCCCCTATTTCCATGTTTCTCTTTTCCACTAACAGTTTTTCCATATTTTTGTAGTGATTGGGAGGAAAGCTGATTGTATCAGTTCTTGAGCAGTTCAGTTATGATGATGTTGATTGTAATGCTAAATCATAAAATGTCAGTGTTTGTGCTTTCATCTGCTATCTGTTCTTATTCTTGATCTGATATTCAAATCAGAAAAATACAAAATATTTTAGGTGGTTGATTTTATTTTTATTGCTTTACGTGTTCCAGCCAAACTTATTTAATGAAAACATTGTTATTGATCCAAGTGTTAAGAATATTTTGCTTTATTAAATGTTTAGTTCCCATAAAAATATATTTAATTATATTAAGTATATTTAATATATATCTAAATATTTAATATAAATTATATTTATATGAATAAATTCATATATTAAATGAATATATTGTTATTTGACTAATCTTCACATAGATGTTTTCCATATATTGAGAGTTCATAGTGATCAAAGGCTGTCAATATACCAAAACTCTGTAAAGGCATTATTAAAGTAGACTATATCTTGTGCGCTATAGCTATTCATTGGCTTATGGAGACTTGGAAAAATAGAAAATGTGCCATTTGGGTGACTGTTGTTGTGCTTTTTATGGCCCTTTTTGAGGCTTGACAGCCGGGTACACTTATCGTATGGAGAATATCCAGTTCAATTGTAATGACAGAATTACATTATATGGGTTCAGAAAAACTTGAGTGTGAGTAAATGATGACATTTTTTTTTTTTTTTTTTTTTTATCCTTAAATATGGACATTTCTCCATTACATCATCATGAAGAACCAATCATGTTGCTCAATCCCACTATGGGTTTCTTGTAAGAGAGTGATAAATCGTGAGATAAAAGGATAGTCTTGGAGCGGGAAGCTTCCATGAGTCACTTCTGGGGTGAACACATCGCCTGGAGTGTGATTCTGTTAAACTTCTTGATGTCATAAATTCCAGCCTTCATTGGTTAGTATTGAATGGGGTAGTGAAGACCCCTCTGGTGGGTGTGGGGGTAATTAGTGCCCCCTCATGCTTTAATGCTGTCCCGTCTGAAATGTTAACCTTGCATAATGATCCGCTGTCCTCTTTAACAGCTAGCCCTCCCACTGCCATTGTTCCCGCGTTATAGAGAGCCTGTTGTGTTTTGTTGGAACTTAGACCCCTGTGTTTTCACCAAATCATGGCCAGAATGTCAGACTATACTCCTGGAAGCTGAAATCAACCCTCTTGTCGCTAAATTAAACACTTGACTTGATCTTTTCAGGAGCAATTCTCCCAAAGTCAAATCTGATTCTTAATATTCACTTGAAAATGAAAGTTCTGTTGTCATTTACTCACTTTCGTACATGACTTCCTTTCTTCTGTGGAACACCACAGAAGATATTTTCAGAAAAGATATTTTAAGAAGCTGCATGTTTATGTACATACAATGAGCGTCAGTGTTGTTTTGACTTTCATTGTATGGACAAAAATGGTTAAAATGATGTTGCGATGTTATTGTTAACTAAAACTATTAAAAATAGTTTTCATTAGTTGAAATATAGCTGAAATAAAATAAAATATAAATATTAGATGAAAAACCTCAACTTATTAAAAAAATGTATGGAATAAAATTTGCAATAAGTTGAAGTACTAAAATGACTAAAACAGAAATTTTACACCAAAACTGCATAACAAAATTTCTGAAAATTGAATAATAAAATTAAAACTGAAAATATACAAATATCAATAAATACTATAAAAGTATAAATAATACTTAAATTACACGGCAGGTTTGAATTAAATGCGAGTTTTAATTTTTCAGCTATACCTATGAGAACAAAAATTGAAATAAATACATTGGTTGACTTATTTTGAGAGTGAAAAGTGTCTTTAAACTAGATTTTGACATTTTCTTAGAAAATTGTGACTGGTGTTTACCCAGGCAAAAGTCACCGCTTTTGTGGGTGAAGGTGAATGTTTTTTTTATCTCTGCATATTTTTTGTTTTGTGGTTGCTAAGGCGTTCTGGGTGGTTGCTAAGTTGTTGCTTACTTCCCACTGCAGATATGGCTGAATTCCCTCATTCAATGTAAATCTAATCAGTTTTTGCCTATTTTATTCTCTGCCAGGAGAAAATTGTACATGGTACAACTTAGAAAATTAATAGTAGACTTCTCCAGAATAACGATTGGAGGTATCATTCATGTCCATAGCTTCAACCGTTCAGGATAAATTACGTACTTGTGTTATGGTTACGTTCAAATCCCTCACCCTAATTATGAGCAGTAGCATTAATAATTAAGCCTCTGATCGCCATACGTCTTCTTGTCATCTTATTGTCCCCTCATCATTTCTGAAAGCCTTTTATCGCCTCTCGACTCTTTTTGTCTTAGCAGACTGTTTGACCCCTGTGCGTCCATACTGTCTAATGCCTGTCTGATTGGTTTAAAGTGGAGACAG